AAAATGTGGGGACGAGGTCACACTGCCTGCACTTTCACTGAGCAGTGAACTTTAAGACAGAAAGGATGAATTTACAACATGTCTAACACTGTCTTCCAATTCCAAATGTTTTCTAAGAATTTTTTGCCTTGCTATCGAATCCGATCTTATCGCATATACTTTCATATCAAACAATCTCTATTCTTCTTATCTCATCTCTCATTTCATCTCATCATAACAGATTTAATTTTTTCTCATCTGCTTTCCCATCTGGTCTTATCACATCTAATTTCATTTTATTTCAAAATGCTATCTATTTTCTCTATTGTATCTCTTCTCATCTTTTTATGTAATCTTATTTTTGATTATTTTACATCTGTTTTCCTCTCATCTCAACCTCTCATATCTCAGCCTCTTTGATCTTATCTTGTCTTATCTAAAAAAAAAGATGATAATAGATTTTCCAAGCAATTAGAATCAACATGGGTTGAGACAGCAGATTATCTGGTTAATTTTATAAACAATTATTTGTATTTACGTGTAGTTCAGATTGTACAGAACATCAAAAAAGGAGTGGGGGGGGGGTCACTTCTTTAGACAACCTCTCATCAAAGAGCTCACTGTAAGTTGGTTAAATAATACACACAACATAGGAAGTGGGAACAGCAGCCGAGGACAGTCGACTGCAGTGTTTTCAACAGAGAACGACACCTGCGTCCTTTCATCTTCCACTTCAAGATCAGCTGCTGCAACGACGACCGCGCTGACAGATGTGTCAGGTCTTCACTGTAAAAGTCCGGATGCAGCTCGTCTGCCGTGAACGGAGTGTCCCCCTCTGCACTGATGTCATTGTTGATCTACAGCACCGTGTGTGGTGCACACAGCCTTCGGGTATTCTTCGTTACAACAATAAAATGACAGCAAAACTTCGCAATCCGTGGAAAAGCCTCGCTTATGCGCTGCAGCCTCCTCTGAGGTTTCCAGGCAGATTTAAACACCACATGCTCCGCTGCAGTTTCACCTGCACTTTGGTTAAGGTTATGTCAGTTCACTGGATTTGTGTTCAATCTCAAACTGTTGCACTCAACGACGCAGAAGTAAAACAAACTTTACATGTGGCACGTTTTGTGAAAACATGCTCAGCGCTAACTATACCTCCCAGGGTAATTGCTTGTTGTGCAGTATTCCCAGAGGCCCTGCTGCTGTTTCCTGTCTGTAGAGTCTCACAGTGGTAGAGTGGTACATGGGTGTTGGATAAAGATGTTTGATCCAGTGTTGTGGCTCTCACTCTGCATCCTTTGGAAATATGACGAAAGAAATAACACTTAATTGTAATCATTATCTACCATGCTTAAAAATCAAAGATAAAGGTCAATTATCAAAATAAAAGTTTATAATAAAATACTTTTTAAATGGAATAATCCAGTGTTTTCCCAAACCTTCGCGACCCAAGTTAATAGACATTATTCGTAAACTGCTGGGAAACATGATGCGAGACGACCCAAAACAAATCTCTTGTGACCCACCTGAGGATCACGACCCAGTCTTTGGGAAACAATGGATCAATCGATCAATCGGTCTGTCTGTCTGTCTGTCTGTCTGTCTGTCTCCCTGTCTGTCTGTCTGTCTGTCTATCTATCTATGTGTTGTGTTGTGCAATAATGTACTCTATCGAAGTGAATGTGTCAGTCAATTACGACATAATTAGGTCATAATATACAAAATAAGAAAAAAAAATCATCCTCCTTCTGCAGTTACCCATGATGCCGTTGGCACCTCTGTTCTGCTCTGTGTTATCTACTTCCAGGAAGCCTTCAGATGTTCTAGTAATTGTGTATTTCTAAATAAATAGCCCAGCAAATGAGCAAAGGAAACCAAAAAGTATGGTACTCATTTAACAGCAAACAATATGTGGCCCCTGTGACAAATATGTGGCACACTGGTCTGGACCCCGATGGAAATGGAGCTAGTGTAGCTTGGAAACTGCATGTTTTTTACTGCTCTATACATAAACAAGGAAGCTCTACTGGGACCGTCCTACCACAGACTCCATCCTAAATCAACACGTGGACTCATTTAAACCTATGTTCAAAACACAAACACTGTGCATCATGTCAGTGCTGGAGCTTTAAAAACATGACTTCACTATGAGCCAGTTCTTTGGCATCGTCATAAAGCCGTCAGGTCGAGTGAAGGTCGATTACACAGCCTAAATATTGCAAATGTATATTGTTACCATTTTCTTAAGAAACAAAACATTATCATTAGTTAAATAAATAATACAATAGTCTGCAGAGACAGAGCTCAACCCTTCTAACTTGTGGAGATGTCTCACTGTTGCCCACTGAGTCAACACATTAGCATTTTGTTTCAAGAGGCTCTGGCCCAATATTGCCCAGGGAAATGGTTGCCATTCATGTTGATATTTAAGTAAACAACTGTCAAATATTTGGGACGTAGTGCTCGAACAAACAGAAAACAACGGTGGACACAGAAATAAAAATCATCAGCAGAGACTTGTCTCACACTGGAAGGCTTCTTCTTTCACTACTGTTGCTGGAGAATCTGAACAAAACTCATCTTAAAAATCCTAAACACTTCTCCAAGACGTGTTTCCATGGGAGTGTCCCCTCTTGGTATAATTCTTGGGGATGTCTTTTGTACTAGGTCACATTCTGCTTCTCTGCTTGAGACTGAGTCTAATAAACTTGCTTTCAAATTAAGTTTTGTTCTAATGTTCTATGATCAGATGAAGCCAGATCACGAACTGTCAAGGTTTTCTTTTTAAAGCAACTGAAAAAACAACTAATACCTAAATAACTATAAATAATCCACACCATTTATGACTTTATTTAAATTAGATAGAAATGTGATTTTTATGAGTGTCCCCCCTGAGGTACCTATCCAGAAATATTCTGGCCTACTGACAAATATAGTTTGTGAAAATTGTTGGTGAAACTTATGCACAGACTGTATGTAGATCACAACAAAAAGTATTGAATTACTCCCTGTATCAAGACAATTATTCTAACACCATTCATATTCTAACACCCAACATGATAGTGTGGAGATTTTGAAAAATCAAAATGCATCAACAACTTCATTTATCCAAAGGAGTGTAGCTGCCATTGTTGTCGTGACACTTTTTTCATCATTATGCAAAGATAGAACACCGTGGAACGTGTATTTACTTTACTTTCAAACCATAACAAACTTGCCAATGTGCAAATGACATGTAATAAAAGGACAATGTAGTAGGAAAGAAAAGCAGCAAAAAGTCCACCGTGGAGACTGATTAAATAAAAGGCCACACCTGTAAATGGTCACCAGTTTCCAATATACTATATGGAGAAATGCAACCACCCATGCTGTGGTCATTGAAGACCTACTAATCAACCAGTCAGCATGTCTTTGAATCTGTGGAAACTAGCCTAAGTACCGACGCGACCTCAGACTCACGCTAGGAGAACACAGGAACCCGAACATCCTGTACTTGTTGATGCTAACAGCACGGAGCCTTTGATATCTGAAATTGTAATCTCAATGTGTGACATTTTTTAATTTTCTGCCTGAGCTAAGGAATGACCGTATAGAACATCGGAGTATACATGGATTCAACTTTAACCCACCTTGGGATCTACTGTATTCATGTGTTTTGTTGTGAATGTGAAATTGTATGAAATCCAAATTGTTTCTCAAGACAAGTACAGTCCAGGACATCAGGGACATTGATGTGTGTCTTTTCTCCTGCAGAAATAAATCTGGTCCAGCAGTGAGCAGATACTGTATTTGTTGATTGATTACAGCACTACGTATATCTCCAAACAGACACGTTTATATCCTACTAGGAAAAGCAGTGGGGTTTTCTTTTCCAGTTTTGTGACAAAGAAATTGTATTTATTAATTTGTTTACATCCATACACAGCCTACAGAGGGCCATGGAGAAGATTGGAGGGTGGGGTTTAATGTTAGAATTTGGCCAATCCCAGTTGACCAAAGGCGGGGTTCATCCTCACGGGGTCACTGCTCCACGACGGGGCCAAGATATAGAAACAAAACAGACTTATAGTTGCATCTATGGGAATTTCAAAGTTCTTTAATTTTCCTGATCCCAACCCCAATCTGTGGATGGAATAATAGACACGTGTTTGCATGTTTATGCATATACAGTTCACATATACGAGTCGCCGTGTGGTTGTGATGGTTTTTTTTTTTTAAACCAGGTCATAAAACACATCTCTTCATAATTTACCTGAAAACGTCAGGGTAATAAAAGTGATTTGAAGACACAGTGGACCATCAGTGTGCAGTCACTTTTTATAAGTCCTTCACTGTCCAGATTTCCAGGTGTTGTGGAGGAGTTCCTGGTAAATCCGGACTCACTGAGTCGTATGTGGTCGTGGGAGTAACACGAGTCCTGATTCTGGTTTGATATTCCCATCCGGCCTCCTCGCAGTGAAGCTACTGTACATCTCAGAGCGCCTGTGTCCAGAAAATGCATTTACATAGCACTACCTGCTGGTCACAGAATGGAACTGCACTCGTGAATCAATGGGATGACTGAAATTCCATAGAGTTGGTCTGCAGCTACGCATGTGAACGTGCACATACGAACGTCTGACATATGTGGGCCAGTGTGGACGCCAGCCCTGCATCCTTGTGCTTTTTCATTCTCATTGGATGAACTTTTTTTCTTACCTATGAATATTCATGAACTTTGATTTTGCACAGTGTATATTGATGCAAAGCTCAGGACTGGATATTCAGGCACCATTAAAGTGAAATGCTGCAAGTTTAAACTGCCGCTGAGGAACATGCAGTAATTCTGCTCTTTACTCACGTATGAATGGGGGGCATGGGTAGCCTCTCTCTCTCTCCTCCGCTCTTCTATGTCTCTCTACCTCTGGAGTTTGAATGACTTTGGGTGAGTGTCCCCCACCCTCTCTCTCTCTCGCTCCTCCTTACACCCCAAACCTCTCCCTCTTATTAAAACAACACGCCAATCTGTCGTTGCCCGGTAAAAGGGGTTTGGGAGACGCAGCAGCCGTAAAGGAGACTCCACACACACTGTCGTCTGGAAGGAATTAGACAGCTGAGGCAGCCGCAGAGAGACAGACTTCTGGCCACTTCTCTGCGCCCTGTCTCACCTGGTTGCTTAGAGGGGAACTTTAGAAACAATTACACATCTCAAAATGTCAATAATTTAATCAATCCTTTTTTTCCCCTCTCCTCACATTTTTAGCCTGAATGATGCAGCCAGAGGTGATGCCTTTTCGTCTTATGGTAAAGATGACTGAAAGTGCCAGAAGTTGATGGAGAAGAATATTTATCATTTCCACAGAGTCTACATTTTATTTATACTTTTTTACGTGAACGATGCCAAAGTTGACTGACGTGACGCGTGCGTCCTCACACCTGAGATGCTGAACTCCAGAGAAGACCAAGAACAAACTTAGAGGACGACTTTTTTTTTCTTTTGAATGAATGAGGATCGTCTTGAGTGGATTCATGAGACTCACCACTGCTCCACAAGTGTCCCTTAAAACTGTGTCAAGACTTTCTCTCCGGGTGGAGCGGCACCAGAGCCGTCGTAGCTGACCGCATCTTCACTCCAGGGACTGACCACAGGACAACAGCTGCTTCAAGGTACTGGGTGGATGATTGTTGTTGGAGGTGATTCCCGGCTGCATGCTGACTGACAGTGATGAATGATACGCCACCATCCAAACTCCATTAGTCAGGAGCGCACTGTGCGTTTTTACGCATTAAGATAAAAAAGTTAACATGTTTAAGCACCAAACATTTTAGAGCTGTTATTATGGTTTATTTCTTAATTTGGACCTCGTTGAGGTCTCAAGTGTTAAGTCCAAAAAAAGTGGGCGATGGTGTAAAAATGGGGGGCGGGGGTGAGAGGCAAACAGCTGTTTTCAGGGCTTTTATTTTCCACACAAGACATGCGTTAAGGGCGGACAAAATTAAATTTTCAATGTGTTTTTATAAATTAAAAAAATAGTTTACTTCTCAAAACAACCTCACAGGTTTATTTTGGTCCCCACGGTTTATTTTGGTCTAAGAATAAAATTATATTGGTGACGTCGCGATGTGTACGTCATTCTGACCAAAGAATTGACCAATGGGAAGGCATGATTCACGACTCCCAGTGGGTTTTGCAGCGCGTATTTTGAATTAGGGAGTGGGTTGAATACGGCACACGTGGAGAGTAGAACAGTCAACGTCATGTGTCCACGTTAATCCAGTGGTTAGTTAGTGATCGTTTATCTTCACTGGAGACCAGAGTGACATCACTGAGAGGTTTTTTGGCTGAGTGCGTGCTGTTGTCATCCAGTTCAACTGAACATCTGTCACATGGTCTGCAGATGGACATGTTACTGTGTCTGTCAGAGATTTCCTGACATCTATCTGTGATGAGCTGTAGATTTTTATCTTGCAGTGGAAACCACTGGTTAATGATGCAATCGAGGAAACATTTGTCCTACTGTCACTGCACGTGTTTTTTGTTGTGTGCATCACTGAAGTAGGAAGATGTATAATTTATGACGCTCATTTGGGTCATGATCCCAGCCCTCAGGGGAGTTTGTGTGCAGATTGTGAAGGCTTAGTAAACACCTCAGTTGTAAGGGGATGTCAGTGCAGCATTTAGCTAGAAAGCAGAAAGCTTGCTTTGTAAAAGTGCTGAAAAGTAACTTTGTTTGCACTCCCTGCAGTTTACAGTGTGTCAGAGACACATCCATGCCACAGGATGTTTCTCTGCACAGCTCACAGAGAAGTTAGCGACTTCACAGAGGAAGGCATTCCAAGACTGGTCTCCATTAGGGCTCACGTGCCATGACTGTTCACAGCATGGGTCCTTCAGTGCACAAAGCCTTGGGGCTGGCATGGAAAGCCACAGAGTGTGTATGTGCAGCCCCTCCCAAACACACACCACCTACCTCATCTGTTCCAAGCCCGTGTGGCTCAGTGAGGCAGCTCTGTAGCCAGGAAGACAGTAAAAGTGAAAGCCTGAATTGCCAGTGCCACAGACTGGCTGAGACAGACTCACAGACGAGAGTGATGCCAGGGCAAGGGTAACAGTCGAGTGTTAGTCGGCCCAGGAGTTGCATAAAAATATGCTGTTTTGAGTAGGTGCAAAGCAGGTGTCTTTTTAACCTTCTGTGTTTTTAAATAAACTGATGATTTGATTTACCATCTGTTAAACTGACTTCAATGACCTGGAAGATGGGATCGGGCTTTCTTTGAACCTAATGACAACCAAACATTTCTCATCCATTCCTTTTAGACAGATTGTGAGCTTCTGTTTCTGTTATCTCGTAGTCGTGATAACAGAGAAAGCCTTGAAGGGAAATAGCGTGCAGGTTAAACAACAGTTATTTTAGAGCGGTGCAGATAAACATGTGTTGTCTGAGAGCGAAAGTGTCGGGTCAGGGGTTGACGCGCAGGCCAAATCTTTGTGAAGTGGGTCATTTCGAAAAAGGGGATTTTGGATTCAGGGGAAAGCACACATTCACAGAGTGGACGTCTGAAACATCAGCGTTACTGTGTGAGGCAGCGGAGCCTCGCGCTCTCAGCTGAGCTGCAGCAGTTGTAATTTGGCTCAGAGTTTTGGAGCCAGCCACAGTGGTGTAAGTCAAATGCTTCAGCTGGCAGTGAGCGGAGCCAAGACCTTCTCCAAGTCTCTCCCCCCCCCCCCCCCCTCCATAGCATGACTGCTTTCTTCTACTCATTCACAAAAAACAGAGAGAGATGAGTCAGCACAGGAGATGAGGTGTGAAAACACCAATCCACCAGCTCTCCTTAAAAACCTGAGGCGACGTTTCCCTCAGCTCTAACATCCTAAACTGTGGCTTCCTACTTTCTTTCCTTCCTTGACAGCCAAACTCTATCAACCCACAGTGATGCAACCAGGAACTTTGTGATAAGTAGAGAAAGAGATGATGCACACACTGTGAAGAAATCAGAGTAATGTAAAACACACACACACCGCCTGGATGTCGTAATCGGCAGCCGTATCACACCTACCTCTAGTGTCACACCGAGGAGGAAATGAAGAGGCAGTCGGGGGGGGGGGGGGGGGGGGGGCAAGGAAAAAAAAGAAAATGGGGGAGGTAAAAGTTAACTCGCTGTTTAATGTTGTACCTTTGCCACTTCCAGCTCTCCACCTGATTCCAATCATGTTCAGAGCAGGACCAGAGAGGTGCAGTGGGTGGTGTTTGGATTAGTGCTCCAACACTGGACCAACTGTGACCACTTGGGTGTCTGCAGGGGAGTATGGGGTGGGGTGAGTGTGGCTTCGTGGGGGAGGGGGATCTGACAGGAAAAGGAGGGAAAGTGGAGCAGTGGGGGCGGGGGGGGAGGGGGTTATTTGCTGCAGACCCATTCATATCAGTTACCTGGGAGAAACTATGTTTACCAAATGATGGGACGTGACCCAAAGGTTAGCCTTTGGAATGGGAACTGAATATTGAAATCCAAACTGATTTCCGTCATAACTTACTGCAATATAGAGGTTTGTTTTTTGTTTTTTTTACTGCGGAGCCATTGCCTTTGTTAAATTTTATTGCCCTTCTGCCTCTCAGGAAATGTGCTGCATGGAACCTGATGAGTTTTAATATATTTAAACGAGGTAAAGACAGAGGGCATTTAGCAAATTTATTTTTTCCATATCAGTCAGTTTAAATGCATATATGGTATGGTATTTTTTTTTAAAAGGGTCTCCACTCATACACCTACATTTTCTTCCTGTGAGGGCAGATCCCTGGTCTAGAGCAGCATTATATTCACTATAAATCTGTTGGATGATTACAGGGACTAAGGAAGTTTAACATCAATTTCCTGTGATTGTGTGTGTAATTACTTTGATATTTATTAACTTTCAATGAAGAACAAACTTTGCCTGTTTCTTTATCTTAGTTACAGAAGAGTCATCAGGTCACAGTAAAGTGGTCAAGCAGCATATTTCACATTTAAAATACGCTTTTGTGTATTTTTCAACATGAGCTGACGCTTGTTTGCTAACAGCTAAAAACTGTACTCACTGCTGGTTGGATAATTAGACTGTAACAATTTAAGGAACAACTTGCAAAAATGTGCTGATTCAAAGATGATTTGGTGTCGACACTCAATGACTTCTTCAGGGGAAAGACTTGGAAAGGATCCAACTCTTCACTGCACTTAGAGGGCCCTCTGCTGGACCCTGTTGTAATTGCAGTATTTCAGACCAGGTTGTTGGAGTTGCAGTTGGAAAAGCTGATATTCTCACTTTGAATTTTGAGCAAACAAATTTGAGCACATTTTCAAATTTTGAATAAAAGTGATATTGGTAGAGTTTTGTAGAACAACGATCCAACTTATTATTTTTTAAATCATGAAGGAATGTATATCAAGTTATTGAATGTTTTTTTTTTTTATCTTCATGATTTAAACTTTTTGCAGGGCTTTTTGTGGTGTATATTTCAAACATGTCTGACCGCAGGCCCTGTGGGTTTACTGAACAGTTACTGCAATAAAATTGACATTCTTTATGATTTGCCCAACAGAGCTAACGCTTTTAAAAGTCATTTTTATTACATTGTGGCTCCTCCTCATTCATATATTGCATGTGCAGTCTTGGACAGCCACAGGTGTTGTAATCCAGATTAGTCTATGGGGCAGTATTAAAGTTTGATTTGTGAATAGCTGTCATGTAGCTCAGGCTTCCAGCTGTGACTGCTGAGTCACAATAATATTAAGACGTGAGTGTATTGTTATCTCACAAAACTTATTTTTGGCCCTGCTTCAGATTTATATACAGTACTGCCTGAACGGTGAGTCATCACATTCCCTACATACATTCAGACCAGTACCCCTCTTCCTGTGTGCACCCATGTACACTAATCAAACCCACACTTGCTTAGCTTGTATGTTTGCACAAACATGTGTGCACACATGGTCAGAGTTAAGTGGGTTTTATATATCGACAGGCCACATAAAGCACACATCTGACAGCTTCAGACTGTTGACATGCATGAGGGTTTTTCACAGCGCAGCGAACGAATCCCTGGTCCACGGCCATGCTAACGCCTGACACATGATGAATGCTAACAAGTTGATATAAGACTTTGGTCCAGAGTCAAACATCTGTCACAAAATTATTTAAGCAAAATTCAAACCACAACTGCTGTAACTCAAAGTAAGTTTAGTTTAGCCTGAATGAACCATGGGTCAGTGGGGTCTGTAAGATGTGGTTTGACTGGACCCAGTGTGAGATACAATGTGGTGAAGTCTGTGAGTCCGGACTGAACAGTTCCTTCATCGATCGATTGATCAATGTCTTTTATTATTCCTACTCATCCACCTAACATGGTCAGAGCAGTCTCATTCCTACAGAATCACAACAGAACATTTTATTTTAACATTTTATTTTTTATATACTGCCAGTGCTCAATGGCAGTTTGATGCCAAAAACCAACCACAAGTTATGCTTTTTTTCAGAGTTTTCATTTTTTCCATGTGCTTAAAAACTTCTATTTTGTCCATGCCTGTCCAGATTTTGACATCATTATCGTTTACTCACGTCAGCACTTTTCTGACATCAAGGCTTTTAAATCTTGTGGGTCAGTAAGGGGCATCATCCAAATGAAAAGTCAGTTGTATGATGCCAGGATGTTTGTCTTTGTCCCTGGTTATATTTTACACTCTTAACTACAGAAGTAGTGGAAAAGTTTACACACTGCAAGATGTGTGATTGAAGAAAAGATTAATATTAGTGCACAGTGTAAAGGCTGTGGTTCAGCATGAAGATCCACTCACAGATCTAACCCAGCATCCAAACAAACATGTTGACAGTGTCAAGTGTCAATCACATCACTTGGAACTTGTTTCAATACTTGGAATGATTCAACACAAATACACAGCTTTGTTAATGGACTCATTCACATGTGATCGTTTCACCTTCACTGATGCATGTCATGTTACTGAAAACACCCACAGACGTCTGTACACACACCTGGTCCTCTCTGGTCCACATCACACTGTTGACCCCTGAGGTAATTATGTGATTGTAGGCGTTAACTCCCAGCGGTTTTCGCCAATTTATTATTTTTCTGAGTGAATCTGTTTTGGCTGTGGAAACTAATAGTTCGACTGACCCCTCTTCTTTTCTGGGCTCCACACCCAGAGTGAAGAAGAAGAGCAAAACAGTGTCACAGGAATCCCTGCCTTAATTGAATTTGGCTTCACTCACTGGATTCATGAAGACAAATAAAGCAGGGAGAGAGCCTGCCTGTAGAGTACGACCCAAATGTTTTGGAGTTCACGAATAAACAAGTGTAAACAGAGTTTGTATGAGCTCTTTTCTAAGTAAATCCCTGCTGTATGTGAACCGGTCAGCCTGTGTTAGACCTGTAATGTAGTGTAAAGCTGTCATGAAGGTAACACATTCTAAGACTGGTCCTCTGACCTCATATTTATGAGTTTGACAAGACAAACAACCTTAGAATTCACACATCACAAACTGTTAGCCACGCACAGTATATTTCCACGGCACATTTATGGTAGAACACGTTTGCTGCTCAACAGTGGCGCGGTTCATTCAAAGGTGATGTGTGGAGACACAGTAAAAAGTACTTATACAGACTGTGTATGAAACACATGTACTGAGTACATGTATATTAGACGCACACCCAACTGTACATGTACAAACTGTTGGAGGGCTGAGATGGAGGCTGGTCACTGCCTAACTTAATTAAAAACATGTATGTTAGACACACACACACACACACTGATGTGTGTGTGTGTGTGTGTCTAACGGACTGGTGTTATAGGTTTTTATACAATACATGCATGTGTGTGTGTGTCAGAGGTCTTGTAAATGGGCGGCTGATTTTAAGAACCTTGCCACGTGCCTAAGAAGGCCGTCTAACGCAGACTGTTGGCCTCTTTTCCAGTGATCAAATGAGCAAGACTTTAGAGCTGAGCCAAGGGGTGTGTGTGTTACTGTGTGTGTGTGTTTGTGATTGTTTGTGTGTGTGTGCACCTCTCCAACCCAGACTTTCTCAACCATTATGTCTCCTGCTTTGTTTCACTCTGCTGTACTTTTGATACAGCTTTTTTTCTCTTTTTTTTTTTTACTGTCATCGAGTTTTAACATCCTTCTCTCGTCTTGCTTTTCTCTGAAGAGTTGCACCTCTTCCTCACTTGCTTTT